CACTTGCCTTACTCCTGACTGGGCAGTGAACATGCTGCGTCTGAATGCCGTGGACAGGAGCCCGGCCAATAGCGGCTTCCATTACGGGAAGACCGGCCGATCAAAGCGTGATACGCAGGCCACGCGTGAGTCCCACAACCGTGTCTTTCTTCCTGAGTACGTCGAGGAGGATGTTCGCGACACTGACCAATCACAATTGCCTGCCAGGGCCGCAGCTGGTCCGAGCCTCGGCCCAGACAGAGGTCGTCAACTGAACGTTATCGAATGCAACAGACCCCTTGCCGGACTAGGGGTACCCGTATGTGTCGAGGTAAGGAACGTCTTTTGGAAATTTTATTCACTTGCGTGCTTTCTCAGATTGATTGAATGGGGTACGCTTGTTATCCCGTGAAATCCCGCCGCCTAGGCGTATTCCAGCTGAGCTTCCTTCGGTAATAATATGTATTCTAATAATAAATCTGGCCGGCTGATTTTAGGAAACTTCCTCGGCGAATGGTCCATGTATAGTCTTAAGCTGATCTCTTCTCGAGTGGAATGCTACTCAGCTCTTCATGATATCATCTGTTTTATTTAATTATACTATTGCGTGACTCTGAATTTTCGAATCGAGGTCAAGTCCGTCAATTGGCAGTGTTTCCTTTTGTGTTGGAAATGCGTCCTTTGATAGACTGCCGCAGTTTCGTGCAATAAATGAATTAATCTGCCATCCTGTTTCAAAGGTCTTGTACTCGCTGGACCTTTGTACCACGCGTCTAAAGCATAAAATCATGCGTTTTATGTAGAAGCGTGCGTACGGTCAATGTGCAGTGTAATCAGGGTTAGGTGGGAGACTTCACAATTCTGTAGTTGCTCTCATAATATGACCTTCAAAACAACCTGTAGGGACTGACTAAATAAAACAGCAAAGTTGACGAATGTTTTCGATTCCAAATTGTTATAAATTAAGCCAACTGTATCATCAGTTTGTCCACTGTGAAGTTTTCTTCAATGGCTGCAGTCTGAATCTGTGTTGCCCAAAAACGTAGATGCCGCTGTCAGTTTTTACACCTGCCTCTAGACGTTCACACATTTAAAATTATTTTCTTCTTGACATTTTAACCTTCGGGACATTAGTTGAATTCACAGCCTTTTTTACTCCATTTGACTAACTTTACTGTGCAATATTCTTTCATTCCGAAGATATAAAACATATGAACGGCGCACCGATGTTCAGCCAATGAGAAAACGGTATCTTCACCGCATCAGAACCATAGACTGTCATAAGTACCAGCTTCTTTAACCCTTTTTACGTTCGATAACGCTTCCGTAATGAAGACATGAAAACGCAAAAGGATGCAGGCTGCTTAGGTCCCCTTGCTTATGAGCAGAGGCTTGTATAGGTATTGTAGGAAACGGCAAAGGCTGCATATCAGTGTTCTAGACAACCGCTTTTACTGCTTCATTCCCACGAATGATGGAGGTGTTGTGTTGTTAGTCTCCAGCTTTCCAACCCTGATTAAGCAAATAATTTCAATGTCAGAGTGACCCATAGGTCAGTTTGCACATCTCTGTGGCTCTCAATAGGAGCCGGCGGTGTTGACTGCAACACAGGACTTCACCGTTTGCCCAGAAATGGTGGTGTCTTTCCGCTAAAACATAAAATCATAGTCTTGGTGATATTTTGCAGAGGTCGACGTTTTTAGTATCGGAAATCTTCGATTATCCAATCCCCGCAGATGTTTCAAATAAACCAGCAATACTTATTCTCTGCACTGCGTTGGGTAACCACGATACGCCTCATGTTTTCTCCGTTTTTCGTCCTGATATATCGCATAGTGAGGGCTGGCAAACCGCCAAACCTGGATTCGGGTCTCTATCTGGTGATTGTAATGCTCACACGCCCTTCGACTTAGAATTCTAGAAGAGTAATCCGAGCCTATTCGGAATAATACACATTCTAGACTACGGCATGTTGTCTCCTGACATGCCCCTTACTAGTTTACCTTTCCTCGTTAATGCTTTTCACACAAAAATGAGGAATCCCGACGTAACATATCGAAGAACCTGGTCCTCCTTATTCAGATCATAATTTGGGGTCTCATATTTTATTTGCCCAACGTTTCGGACTCTCGCTCGCGGCCATTGTCAAGGAATAATAAAATGTACAGCTGAAGGTCAGTTCCAGCAGATTTGAGTTCAATACACAGTGAGCTGTACATTTTATTATCCCTTGACAACGGCCTCGAGCGAGAGTCCGAAACGTCGGGCAAATAAAATATTGGTCCCAGAGAACGTCTCTCCTCTTTCTAATGAATTACCTGGGCCTCGCATATTTTGGACTTTTCAGAATTTGGGGTCTGTTGCCATTTTGTGACAAACCCAAGTTGTAGTATGCAAACAAGCAAAAGTTTAGCCTACGCTGGTAAAACTCAGTAAGCCTTCATCAGCCTGCCATAGCCGTTGGGGCAGATTATATTTGTCTTTACCTCCGTCGTCATCAAACCAAGTTTTTGTTCCCACAAAACAGGAGAAATATTGGAATGTGGTAATTATTACGCGCAGAACTCCAAGCTAATACCACACACAGTAATATCTACAGCAGATTGTTAAGTCCTGTCTGCGAAAGAGGGGCAGAACATCTCTGGTGTCGCGGATTTTATGGATGGTTGAAGCAAGTTCAAAGGTTCTGCATCCATTTGGCTTACTGCATGGCATGAATCTCGAGGGCTGTGGCTGCCTACACGCTTGTGGATATCCTCGAATCATTTTCCAGTAAGTTCATTTCGAAACGTTCGCATAGAAGGTGACTAACGTTGGCACGGCAGAACATTGAGCAAGAACTACAGTCATGCTCTTATGACGGTTAGTTGATAACTCGCTGTTGTCTTTCGAGTTTCGGGACACCTCTGAACTCCTTGAACGAATTCCGACCAAGGTCGTTTAAATGTGGAGTACGCGGGATCTTTGTCCGTCAGGTTTAGCTTAAATGAAACCCTTCTTAAGTATCTAACACAGTTTGGGCTGGTGTTCACTTGACCATCTAAGATGAAAATATATTTCGATCTTAGCTTTGTCTACTCTTCACCCTAGATTTTATACCATCTACGGCCCCATGCCGACACAAGTAAGCCATATCGCTTCGCTCGTGAGTTACCATTGCTTTTCAGGTCAATAATTACCCCACACGATACCGCCAGGCAACAGGGCCTTATTAGTCCCGGAGTCAGGTTCTTCGTTCGTACCCTCATCTAGTTTGAACGCGCTGACCATTAGTTGCACGTGATGGTAATGGCGTTCGGACAACTGGCAAGTTCCGGGCAGTCGTGCTGCCCACAGTCACCTCCACCGCCCATATATCAAACCAAAGCGAAGTGGTATTTTTAGGCATATGGGGAGAGCGGTAGCTAAGTAGAAGTCCGCACCGCGGTAATGACCTGCGTCTGTTCTCCCACGAGTGACACCATCGGCTCTTAGCCAAACCCTTAAACTTTGTGCGGAATATGGGCACTCGTTATTAAGCAGCGCACATTGGTGTCTATAAAGCAAGAAGTCACCTAAAATTCCAGTTTTGACCTTCAGAACATTTAAAAAATTGATGCAAAAGATAATGCCTATTCCTAGGAGTACACGACGGACTGCGGCAGCGCCAGGAATTGTATACTTGTAGTCCTGGTGCCGCTATTAGCGGGCACATTCTTATCTTCATCTCACAGAATGTGGACGATTGGTCCATCGTGATTCCTCTGCTCTCATGCGCTCTCGAGTGAAAACCGATGATACGCAGGATGATGGAATGTTAAAAACGTTCCATAGGCAGCAGTACATGCCTGTATCTTCCAACTCCCTCGACTACTTTCCAGCGAAAAGACGAGGGAACACGCACATGACTTCCCATTTACCTGTTTCTACTCAGTCAGACGCCGGAAGCAGGATGAAATCACTCAGCACTAGACCACTTAGTGGC